TTTGATTCGGTTCGTTTTTTCACTTCAAAACTTGAAATCATGGTTTGATTTGTTCGGTATGTTTCAGTTCATTTTTGATTTTCCAATTCTTTTACGAAACAATATTATCATTTTACTCAAAATGATACAATATATAGTTGGGGAGTCAAATATACTACATAAAACATATAACATACTGTTGGGTGTGTTTCGAAAAACAAAGAAAATAATTAATAAAAATTAATTAAATAAAATGACTAAAGAAAAATAGAAAGTAGATGAAGCAAAAATTAGCCAAAGCTTGTGATAGTCCCAGTTCTTAAACAATCAAACAATCTTAGCAGATAAAGAAGAAGCAGATAGAAAGATATCGAGATGAAACCAAATTCGGCAAACCCTGCTCTCTATCTCGCCTCTATGCTCTCGAGCCTCCTATCCTTCGGGTTTCCATAAGTTAGCCTCCTTTTATACGAGAAGTTGGCTAACTTATGGATTACAAAGAAGCTAATGGGCTGATATACATTTGTGGCCCATATTACACGTTTAACTAATAACTACACAAATACAAAGATATTTAATTAGATTGGGCACCATAAAATATTCCTAACAATCTCCCCCTTGGTGATCAATCGTGTTGAATCAGCATTGCAGCGCAAATATCTTTGTCTTTGTTGTTATTCAGCTTCCTTTGTCTTCGAACTTGACTTCTTGAGACGGCTTTCTGAAGAAATCCTTGCAATCTCCCCTTTGATGTCTTCTTGGCAATTTTAGCTTTGATGTCGGGGGTTGAGGAATCTGTCTTTGTCTTGCTTGTAAACCTTGCCTTCAGAAGTAGCTCTTGATCAGCTTGAATGAAGTCCGGTGGTGCCTCTAGAATGAATGTTCTTGAAGAATTGCAGACGCACATGGAAATCATCTTCAGAATTCGACTGTGTGACCTTTGTCTCCTCCACAATGTAGTCTTTTTGACTATTCGAAGTGAATGCGTTTGACGAGACCTTGTCGGTGGCACAGCGGAAAAAGTTGGTTGACTTGTGAGCGTATCTGACCATTTGAGGGGTAGAGATAGAAGAGAGTCGTTGAAATTTTTGATAGGAGAGAAGTGTCCCAGAATGATTTTGTGACATTAAACAGCATGTGGACCACTCTCCGCCTCATGATGATCCAATGAATCGGGGCGTCATGCTTTTATTCTTTTTGAACTCGGAAACAAAACAGAAAAACAAAGCAGAAAGTAAAGAAGATAATGTAGCCCCCCGGGGTCGTGTAGATGCCCGTTATCATCACTATAGAGAAACTCTTTAGCAATGGCCTGAAAATGTTGGTGATTCTTATGTTGCAACAACATGACTTTCTTCCAATTGTTGGTCTACATCTGTAATAGATGAGCCCTATGGAAGTTCTCGCGGATCATGTAGACTTGCAACTGACTCAAAAAGTGCATCTGTGTCCTAGAAAATTTCAATATATTTGGGAGTGAGTAACTAGACACGTCGTGATCAATGAAAGTTCAGTGGCATGGGGCTGAGGCCACTGTAGTCATTATCACTTGCCTCGGAAGGAGACAGTAATGAGAGATGCGGTTCCCCGTGAAATATGATTAAACACCTGTCTGTTGGGAGACAAGTGAGTGGTCTTGGGTAGGGTTAAACATGCACTGTTGGACAAAATGCAGTGACTTCTACCCAGGATCTGATTAAATCAATCCTGAACCTATTTGGGAATTGTCCAGAGTATTTGAGTGGCTAGGAGTAAATGTTCAATTCATAACAGGCAGTTGAGGTAGCAGACTCATCATTGATTATTGTTTTTCTTGCTCACTCGAGCCTTCTGCTTCCTAACGCTCATAATGTTCACTCATTCACTCACTCACTCAGTTACTCTCATCTTTGTCCCTTGGGTAGGCTTAGTTGGGTTTACTAAGCCATATGAACATGTTCTCTCATTTTTTTTTCATTTTTTTTATCTTTGTTCTTCTCCTCAACTGGAGCGCTCGGTATGCTTTATCATTTTTAGGCGCTAGAGAGGATATCATTGAAAACTCCCCCTAAAATGTTGCATCCTTTGAGAGATTCCTTGTTTGGTCGGTGTATGGCGCCAGGAGGAGAAAACCGAAACTCCCCCTCAGAATGTGAAAGTTTGATTGCTCACAGCTTGTCATACCCGCCATGTGTGTGGAGCAATCTGAACAGGCACCACATATGATGGTTTCCCTAAGCTCATCATTTAGAATTTCAGCATATTGATGATCACACAATGTTGATGAGTTAGAGGAGGCTTCAGAAGTTGATTGTGGATTGTTGTAGAATGACCGTTGACGCGAGGTTGATTGAATTATCTACGATTTTCGGACGTCTACAGTGTAGTTTAGAAAAACTTTGACGTTAGATTTGACTTTGGAAGAATTTGAACAGATTTGCCTAAGTTTTGACCTTGACATCGGTGATTGACAATATAATGTTTGTCGGAAAATGGATGATATCTTGGTCAAGAAGAGCGTGTGTGGGCGCGTGGCTTAAGGCTCTTAGGAGCCTTACAATCTCGAGATTACAATCTCGAGGTTTAAACTTCGAGATTACAATCTCGAGCCTTACAACTTTGAGATTACAATCTCGAGGTTTAAACTTCGAGATTACAATCTCGAGGTTTAAACTTCGAGTTTACAATCTCGAGGTTTAAAATTTGAGATCTTAATCTCGAGTTTGCCTCGAAGAATAATGACGAAATCCACCTGCAAAACAAAACCTCCAGACTTCGAAATCTTCAGAATTTCAAAATGTTTGGAACATCGAAAACTTTGGAGTTTCGAAAACCTTAGAATATCGTGAACTTGCTGTTTGAAAAACATCAGAACATCGAAAACTTCTAAAAACATTGAAAAGCGGAGATTCATCCAAAAATCCAATAATTTGAGCTTCGAAATGTTCTGAACAAAAAGATATCAAGCTACGAACAATTCAGAGTTTTAAGAAACTCCAAACTTTGAAAAATTCAAAACATCAAGAAATTCCTAAAATCTCGAAATCTTTCAGAATGTCGAAATCTCAAACATCGAAATCCCAAAATATCGAGATCCCAAATTTCGAAATCCCAAAATTCGAAATCCTCAAAATATCAAGATCCAGCAAAATGAAAACTTCGATTTTTGAAAAACTGAAAACTGTTCTGAATAGCCCTGAAGGCCTAGATTCTCTCTGTATCAATTTCAAGTCAAAATCGTTTCTGCAGCCATGTAAAATTAGAATCTTGAGATCTCAATGTAGATATCTTCGAAATTTAAAAATTGCACAAATCGAAAACGAAGATGTGTCGTAGAATCGTTTTTGAAAGGCGATTCCAACAGTATAATTTTTACAGATTTTCGTTCGCAAACAAGATTACAGGAGCAAATCTCTATATCAAAGAAAAACAGAAGAAAGGCAGAGCAGTTCTTCGTTAGATTCGAAAAACGCAGATAGATTCAACTTGTTTCACACCTCGGCTCTGATACCAATTGATAGTCCCAATTCTTAAACAATCAAACAATCTTAGCGGATATAAAGATATCGAGATAAAACCAAATCTGGTATACTGTGATAATGGCCGCTGCTCTCCCTCGAGAAGGAGAGCAGCGACAAACCCTGCTCTCTATCTCGCCTCTATGCTCTTGAGCCTCCTATCCTTCGGGTTTCCATAAGTTAGCCTTCTTTTATAGGAGAAGTTGGCTAACTTATGGATTACAAAGAAGCTAATGGACTGATATACATTTGTGGCCCATATTACACGTTTAACTAATAACTACAAAAATACAAAGATATTTAATTAGATTGGACACCATAAAATATTCCTAACAGCTTGTGCTACAATTGATATCCTTAAAACGTATTTGTTGCCTCCATGGGTGCTAGGAGCGTTGCAATGATCGTTTCCCGGGATACGATGACTACGAACAATTGTTTGAGCACTCAAACGAATTGTTCCGGGGAACGAGAACAAGTATGAACACGGTGGAATGTTTTCAGAAGCTAGAGGTGTTTTTTCGAGGTGCAGAAACGTGCATGGAGTGTATGAATTATGTCTGTTGTAAACTACCTGCTAGCCATTTCATAGGGGAAGGACTTGGGTGTGTTAATGGCCAGTTTAATGTTGTGAACGCTGGACATCAATGTCCAGCATGTTGGCATTGATTCGTCCAGAAAACTGTCCAATTCGGGCTGCATTAAGGCAAATGGACGTTGGGCATTGATTAGGTCACAAGAGGGTAAGTCTCAGGTTCGAATCTGCAAGTGCAATGAGGGGTTGCTAATTGCTATGCAAAAATGCATAAGGCACATGCAAGTACCTGTCAAAGCTCCAATCGCTATCTGTCAGCTTGTGATTAAAGTCTAATTTACATCGTCCTAAATAACTGTCCGGCCGGTGTTGGAGGTACCTCAGGAATGGGGTGTCGCCTTTTTTTGTAAAACTTAGGGGTGTGCATAAAAATCGAAAAGACATGGTACCGAAACCAGACAAACGGGGCAATTATAGTAATAAATCTATATTCTCTCATACCAATATCGAACTGATCGAAAACATGATAGGACGGATTTGTAATTTTAATATTTTACATTTCATAAAGAAATTAATTTGTAAATTTATATTTCATCCAATTAATTACAAAAATTAATACAGTAGTAACATGTGTCATTTGCATTTCCTATACATATTACCTCCATTTAAAAAAATGCAACATTCGAAATTATACACTATTTACGTGCTCTACTTTGACTACATTTCGTTGACTAATGCATTAAGAATTTAATTTTTAAAAATATAATTACATATATCTCATTTAAAAAATTTAAAAAGTGGTTTTTTTATTTTCCTACAATAGAAAATTAAATATGTTAAAAGAGAATGCAAGTGTAATATATTTTTAGCTTAGGATTGTTTTTGAATATTGAGATCTCACCTTTCAAAACAATATTCAGATATCATGGAACGTACCGAAGTGTTTCCATTTTTAACCTATTTTCTGCCATCTATAAATTTTTTTTTACCCCGGAAGGCCAACCACCAAAATCAGTGGAGTAAATGTCGGGGGACATTTACCATATTTTATTAATAGTAATGAAAGAATACATAAATCGGGGGGACCGAACCAAACCCGAAGAAATAGAGACAAACAAATTATAATCTAATAGAAGGAATGCCAAAATAATCCATCCAATAAGCCCGTTTAGCAAAAATTGGCAGCTGATCTGTAAGAGTAAAGAGAATGGCCTGATCTGTCTGGACTTGGGCCGAATAGTGGGCAACCCAATTGCCTTCCCGCTTGATATGGCCCAACCGCAATCGATGTCGGAAGATGAGAAGTGAGGTTGCCTGAATTTCGTCCATCCATCTTCTACCTATCTTATCTTCGAAATAATCCAAAGCCAATCAACAGTCGGTTTCCACCTGAAAATCTTCATACCCTTCCTCTACCGCCCATCTGATAGCAAAAATAATGGCCCTTATCTCAGATTCCAGTGGCAATGAAGCACGAAGAGGGAAGCTTGTCGCAACCACAAAACCTCCTCTCTGGTCACGCAGAACGGCACCTCCAGAAGCTTTGCCAGCTAAGTAACTCGCATCCACGTTAAGCTTCCATTGCAAAGCAGGTTTAAGCCATTTAATTAGTGTCGGTTTGTAGCCTTTAATCTTGAAATTTTTTGGTACCAAACCTTCATCAACCAGAACATCCCCAATAAATCTGATTTTGGGCATAGATTGACTAGCAACCCAATTGTGCGTGTAAAATTTGACCTGAGTAATAATATTGCTTGAGCTGATGGTCTTCCCCCCCTCACCCCAAGTAATATCTGCATAGGTCTTCCAAAGTGTCCAACAGATAATACCTGGGATGTCTTGCTTAACCGTACTCTCTAAATTGTTTTTAGGCGCACCAGAAGACCAACTCCAATAGCGTCTGTAATCCATGCTAGGATATTGATATATACTGAAAATACTCAGAAAATACTGCCAAACCACTTTAACAATGGAACATTGAAAAAACAAATGTTGTAGAGTATCACTATGATTCTTACAAAGAGGGCATCTTGAGAGATTTAATACCTGTTGGAATCTTTGAAGTTTATCAGAAATAGGTAAGATACCTTTGGAAATCTTCCACTGTAGTAATTTGACTTTTAGCTCTAGTTTAGATTCCCAAATTCTTTCATATATGATAGAGTTAAAAGACAAGTCTCTAACCTCCTCATAAGCTGTTCTAAAGGAAAATTGACCATCATCTTCTTCATTCCAGGTAATTCTGCCAGAAGAGTCTAAGGAACAGAGCTGAAGACATTGTTCATTAGCAGAGCATATCCTCTTCCAAGTTGTTGAATCTGTAATCCTAGGTACCATACTACCATTTCTATCATATCTCAATCTCATCATTTTAACCAACAGTGAATCATCAGTTTTCCATTTCCACCATAGTTTGAGAGTGAAAGCTTTCTCAATGTCTGTCAAAGATCTAATCCCCAGCCCTCCTTCCATGGTAGGATAGCATAATTTAGACCAGTTTAGCCAATGATATTTTTCTTTACCACTAGAAGAGCCCCAGAAAAAGAAGACATTTTACTATTTAACACATTTATCACCTTTCTAGGCAAGGTATCAACTGCCAGAAGATGAAGTGGAATATAGTTTAGAACATACTTGATTAGTAGTATAAGTCTATTTGCCATCTATAACATTTACGTGCTAAAATTTTCAAGTATTAAATTCCCGATAAATGCCCGCCAATTTCATCCCAGCCTATTTCAGATGTACTGATTGGGTGGAAATTTTCTCATCTGATCAGCTTTTGTCCGATCTCGTCTGATCTGATCAGTTTAAATATGTTCTACTCTAATCTGGCGTATTTAAATTTGCTCTGAATTGGTGTGATAGATGTATGTTCTATGTGTACTTTACAATTGCCAAAGATTTGTCTGGTCTTTTATGTTTAAGTAAGATCTAAAATGATTTGGTATGATTTAGTCTAATGTGATCTAATCTGATACAATATATGACTGAAACGAGTCCAATTAAAAACATTGTTGAATTAGATATGACATAGAACTCATACGGTTCCATACCTATAAATTCTACCATGCCAAACATTTATGCACAGGTTGGTATGATAAAAATTACATTTGAAATGCTCAGCATTATTACACAACACATAACAACATGTTCATCCAAAAAACATAATAATACAGTATTCAAATTTCAACAGATAAGTTCTTCATAATTAAAACATTAATACAAGAAAATCTGTCAATTACCGCAGCCGGCTATCCAAATCAAGCTAATAAAACAAAACTATTGCACATAAAAACATGCACATTCAAAAAAACATAATAATACAGTATTCAAAAGATAAGATCTTCATATAATACATTAATACAAGACAAACTGCCAATTACTACAGCCGCAGTCAGCCGGCTGTCCAAATCAAGCTAATAAAATTGTATTTAAAAGTATTCTCTAATTAGAAGGACTAAAAGTATGAAATGTATTTTAAATTAATCTTTAAGACTTTAGTGATTTGGGCTTTTGAATTTTTTTTAGGCTAAGCTGAACATCAATTTTTTAATAACATATACCTATAATCATAAAAAAAATTGGGGTTGGGCTGAAGCTCACCCTAACCCCAATGAAGATCCACCCATGAACGAGACCTACTAATACTTTTTTTAAACTTTGTTAATTTTTATTTTCTGCTTGTCCCACTAACTTCATCACGTTCTCTTTTAATTAAAAAATCTATAGTTTTAATTAATTATCTTTGCTTTGGACAAATCTAAATCATACCATTTTTTGCACAAACCTAAATCATACAGTTTTTACTTAAGAATTCCTTGTACCGGTCAAATTTGGTCAAGTTTTAAGGAAGAAGAAGTATTGGATTGATTTGCTTGGAATCTCTTTTTTAACTCTGCTCTTTCTCTTTGAAACACTCTAAGGTGGCGTGATATTGTGAGGTAAACATTCCAAACTTGTATATGTAATATAAATATCTCGAATATTATATAAAAGGTTACTGATAGATTATATTCTAGAGAGAGGTGAGAGCTAGAGAGAGAAGTGCAAGTAAATGCTTCAATAAATGATTTTCCAACCCCTACAACTACCTCCAGAGGAAGTATTTATAGGAAAAATACGGGCTGGGCTCCCAAGCCTTGGGCTTGGGAGGCCCATTTACAACTGGACCGCTATTGGGCCGAATACAAAGTAAATGATGGAGTATACAAATGAGTAAGTGTAAAATCCGGTTCTGGGAGTTCTTTATGGCCGACGAGGGCCCGGCCGACGAGTGCATGGCCGATGAAGACCCGGCCGACGAGGTCACCCGGTTCTTCTGGCTTCCGGATCATGTTGTGGGTTGACTTCGTCCCGACCGATGAGGGTCATCTGGCCGATGAGGGTCCCAGTGGGTGACATCTGTGCCTTCTGTTTTCCTGAGTATGTGGGTCCTGGGGCCTAGACCCATATACTCCATCAGGAGTCCCCCACTCTCTAAGCTGAGATGTAGACGAAGTGAAGGAGAGTAGATTCATATTCTTTTTATGCTTGGCCGTTGCGTGTCCCTGTTGTGGACGTGAGAGATCCTAGCCATGCGGATGGTACATGTTCTTTGCTCTCTAGGATGATGAATACCCTTGCTTGATGGGGGTGATGAAGGTCCGTAGTTGTGAGTGGCCGATATGTGTCTTTGGCATGAGTGGCCGATGAGGAAATTCTTCCCTTTTCACGATCTTCGATGGCTTAATTTTGTTTTTGGGCCGAGGAGGCCACTGCGGTTGTGTCTTGCTTGAGGACGATGAGCGTCCTTTGCCTTGAGTGGCCGTTGAGGGCGCTGTTCACTCCTTCTGGCCGTTGTTGATTGAATTTCGTACTTTTGGCCGAGGAGGCCATTGGGGCTATCTCTTTGTTGGAGGACGATGAGCGTCCTTTGTCTTGAGTGGCCGTTGAGGGCGCTGTTCACTCCTCCTGGCCGTCGTTGATCACTTACCATGCCCTTAGCCGAGGCGGTGTGTGGTGGTTAGTTGCCCAAGGTCTTGGGGACGATGAGCGTGTTGCGCTTTTGCACTGGTCGGAGATGGCACTTACAGGGACCTTGAAGCCGTTGTGGTGCGTAGCCGATATGATAACGTTTGTAGTTGTGTACTTGTGTATTTTTGACTCTTTCCATGTTTGCGTTTTGAGGTCGGTGTAGTCCCCCAGTCCCCCACTGCTTCAGGCCGAAGAGTGAGTGAGGGGTGAAGGAGTAGTGTGAGACCCAAGTCGAAGCGGGATCCTCATACTGCCCTTGAATCCACCAACCCTTTGGCGATTTCCTAACCAAGGTAACCCTGTGGGAGAACCCTTGGACGCAGGTCGCTTTCAAAGGGTTATCATCAAGGGTTTTGTGCGAGGGCCGATGGCCGTTGGGTTCCCTTCCCTTGTGGTGTTGTGGCCGTTGTTAGGCCTTTCTTTACATAATATGTATGGCCGCTTGAATGGCCGATACAGGTGCTACCTGGGTAGCCGTAGCCTGTGTAGGCCGTTGTGGGTGCTATTTTCCCATTCCTTGCTCCGTAGAGCCTGCTTTGCTGGTGGGCTGTTGATCTGTGGACTGGGCCTGGAAGACATCCCCTCCTCCAACCTGGTCGGCCGTGGCGTCCTCCTCACGTTCCTTGTTCTCCTGATCCTCAGGGATGGCTTTGCTGACGAGGTTGCGGTTTGACTTAGTTCATCCCATGATCAGTGGTTAGTTGTGCTTGGTAGCGACGAAGGATGCTAACTTGATTGTTCTAGCTCTCAATGAGAGCACCAAATGATAGATTATATTCTAGAGAGAGGTGAGAGCTAGAGAGAGAAGTGCAAGTAAATGCTTCAATGAATGATTTTCCAACCTCTACAAATACCTCCAGAGGAAGTATTTATAGGAAAAATACGGGCTGGGCTCCCAAGCCTTGGGCTTGCATTTACAACTGGACCGCTATTGGGCCGAATACAAAGTAAATAATGGAGTATACAAATGAGTAAGTGTAAAATCCGATTCTGGGAGTTCTTTATGGCCGATGAGGGCCCGGCCGACGAGTGCACGACCGACGAAGACCCGGCCGACGAGGTCACCCGGTTCTTCTCGCTTCCGGATCATGTTCTGGGTTGACTTCGTCCCGGCCGATGAGGGTCATCTGGCCGATGAGGGTCCCACTGGGTGACAACTGTGCCTTCTGTTTTCCTGAGTATGTGGGTCATGAGGCCTAGACCCATATACTTCATCAGTTACGTTAGCACCATGATCATAAAAAGTTTTTTTTACATATGTAAATTTATGTTTTTAAATAAATAACTTAAATGCATTTAACATTTATGATAGCACAGTTAACATCCTTAGCTTATAATTGCAACAATTTTGATTTGATATTTATCGATACACGACTTTGACTATTAGCATAGAGTATTAGTATCATTTACAGAGTTTAAAAAGTCATATTTTAAAATTTTAATCTAGGACAAATTTTATAATGTTTATATTAAGAAAATTGATTAAAACATCAATGAATAGAGTAAAAGTCAATTAAATATGTTAGTAATAAAAGTCATGTGATAACAAATAACAAATCAAAAGCGTTGCAATTATATAGGCCGATTGTAAAATTATTTATTTCACAATGTAAGTTTAGAATGTTAATTTTATCCTCACGAGTGTTAAAAATACATTTAATTACACCATCTTTAAATTATGCAAATAACTCCATAAATTTACATTTAAGTACACCATATATTTTAATAAAAAGACAACTTTTTATATACAGTTCAGAGTATATATATTGCATATACGAGTTTGAGATACTCACCTCACACTCTTTCAAAGTTTAGGGTATTTAGATGTTTTTTTACTTTATGACATCCACAACTCATACAGAGTCCTACACGTCGCATATTTGATAACTCCTCACCTCATGTCAAACTATGACCGACTATAACTAACTAGTTCAACAAAACTGTGCTTGTTAAGTTGGAGTCTTGTAGCAAGTGTGTAATGTATATATGGTCATCGATGTATTGTGTTGTTCTCAAATTCACACATGTTGTTGGAGGTATTGGTCCTACCAAGGCCTCCCTTCCACTTTATTATTAAGGCTTGCACCCCATGTTTACTCCCACTTTGATTCCCTTAGTTGAAATCACTCATTGGTGCCTGTTGACTTACAATATGTGAGCCCCCCCCCCCCCCCCCCCTTTTGTTGTTGTCTGCTGCACCTCCTGTCTGGCAGCCCGTGATTACCTGTTGTTAGCCTCACCCGTGACTTCACTTGGCAGCCTATTTGTAGTCCTTTTTTGCCCCTTTGAGTTAAGCCTGCGTGAATTCCTCTTCCAGAGAGCAGTGTCTTCCTTCTTCCTTTCCTTGTGTGAGAGTTCCTTTGTGGAGTGAAGAAGAGTGAGTAAACATGGGAGATGTTGTGGCCTAGCCCTAGAGGGTGTGTGTGAGTTTAGTCTAGAGTGGTTGGAGACCTGAGCCGGAGACGGATACGATCCTAACAG